ATCCCAGAACGAAGATCCTTCCTCTAAACTGAACAAGACTCCACCAATAGGTGCACCAAATGCAGCTACATGTATGAGTATAATCAATCAACCAATTCATCATTATTATCCTTATACTTACCTGCTACACCAGCAGCAGCTCCACAAGATACAAAATCTCTCTTGTCTCTAAAAATAATTTAAATCAATAATCTTTTAATATAATATAATTACTTGTCATCTCTGAAGTATGGATAAGGTAGCCTGAGCTTATTCCATATAAAACTCCTCAGCTGCAAAATGAATTATAAAATAAAAACCAATCACATCATCAATCCTAATATCTACATGTAATTAAATCATCAATCATAATATCTAATTAACAAAACAATAAAATAAAATCCAAAAGCCCCTCTTTGTCTAAATTCATTTATCGTAAGAGTATCTCTCTAATTAACAGCACATAAGAAATATTCAAAAATACATGTGCAATATCAAATAAACAAACAAGACCATTAAATGGTATTCAATTAGTGAACTAATAGCTTACTTGTGGTATCCCTGCCCCAACAATAGCGCCACTGTGAATCATAGGACCTTCCTTACCAACAAGAAACCCTGACAAAGGAACAGAGAGAGAAAGAGAGAGATTAAAGAAGAAAAACAAAAACAGAAAGAGACTATAATCATGTACTTTTGTTATAATGTATAATAACATCTCTCACTTTCTAACTAAACTGCCACCATAAACAAAGCTATTATTATTATTATCATTATAATAATAATAATTATTATTATATTAAGCAACTGATAATCAATACAGAAACCAATATACAGTAACCAGTTATTGCATTAACACTCGGTCAGACAACTAAAAGGGTCAAGGCTAGGCAAAATCATGTGACGACATCTACAAAGAAGAGGCGTCTTACTATAAAAATAACGAGTACTAATATGCTTTCAGTTTGAAGCCACAAGTCATTCTCATTAATCACATGATGGCTCATTCCCACAGGTTTATCAAAATTCTAAGGTCATTTCACAATAGAAGTCAAAATGGGACATGCTATAAATGCAATATTTGAGTACTAGTAAACTTGATGCACAAAAGAAAAACATTATTTATTTACCTCCTGCCACAGAAAACAATACACCACAAGCTTTTGCAATCAGCGTACGTATCCTAGCAACCCTTGGCATCTACAGAATAAAGACATAATCATCAAACATTGCTTTATTGTGATATCTTACTCTTATTCCATTCAGGTAACACTTTATTTCAGGTATTCCACTACCTGCAGCAATTGGCTACAATAACATTAAAAAAATAATAAAATTTTATACAAAAGTAATACTTACTTCGATAGCGACCAGGATACCAGCAAAGATAGAATAAAATACATTAAAGCCAGCAATTACTAACAGAGCAAGGAATACTGTGCCAGAATCTCGTGTTAAATCATAGACTATAAAAATAAATAAAATATATAAATAAAACAATAATGCTAAATAATAGTGATATCTCTATTAATTATTTTACCTCTAAAAAATTCTTGATATTTTAGCTTTCTCAGATAATGTATGCCAACATTAATGAGAAATGCAATTGTGCCAGTCACTATCCCAATGAGTGCAACCATTATCCACCTCATGAGAGCAATGTGCTTATAAGTCTGAGAGAGAGAACAAGGAAATAGAGAGAGAGGGAAAAGGAAGGGCCGAAAAGAGTCAATGTGATGTAAAAATGAAAGACAATAAAACAGATTATTGTTATGATAATAACTGACGTATTTTGAGTAAGATTCAATCCATTGCTTGTGAGGTACATTATAACAGACATCATAATCTAAACTCTATAAATAAAGGGAGGGGAGAGGGAGGTAAATATATTATAGTTCAGGAGACAAAGGGTGGATAGTGTTGATTAATAATTAAAATGACACCTCTCTCACCTCGTAGTCTTTAACTGGTAACACGGACTTGGCTCGAGCCAACTTCCTTTTGTTTTTGCCTCCTTTTGATTTGACAGAAGAGCTGGAGCTACTCATCAAACTGTTCTATAGTGACAAAACAACATTGACAACACTCAGCCGCTAGTACTAAGAACGATGTCTCGCCTAGTCCGCCTTTCGTACCTTCTCATCGCGGCCCGCTTTGTGGCTCGCCATTGCTTCCATTGAGCGCTCTATATCATCGATATTAGTGTAGGCATGTCTGCTCATCCCTAACAGGATGTTGTAGTTTCAAGAATCACTTATAAGACTGCGAAGCAACAGCCACAGAAAGCAGAGTTGCTGAGCTGAGCTGAGCTATACACCGGCTCATGTGAGCTAATTATTTATTCATTGCAATCAGGTGT